TGCGCGGCACACAGCCCCAAGGACAAAGTGTGGATCAGCGACAAGGCCAGCTGTGCTCTCACACAGGTCATCCCCAAGGTGAGAGAGCAACCAGGAACATAACGTATAGTATAGTATAGGCGGTGTTTTCCTCATTCATAGATCGGGTTATGCCAAAAGCAACACCTGTCTCGTCATTCTAATTAAATTCCACATTCAGTTTCCCGTAAGGGCTCAAATGTTTTCTCTTTTCGTTTCAATTCGACTTGTTGAAAGACAGAACACATAAACTCAAACTTATAATTGAGCACAACGTTTTAACAGTAGGAATCCCTTTGTCTTAAATAAAACCACTCCTAGTGTAAGGCGAGGCAAGTTTATTTATATAGCACCTGTTAACGCAAGGCAATTAAAAGGGCGTTTAAAAAACAAAGGCATAGATAATAAAAGAAACATTAAAAGAATCCAGACCTGCAGGTTTCTGGTAGCTTGTTCCGGATATTTGGAGCATAATAACTGAACTTCTCCATGTTTAGTTCTGACTCTCGGGACAGAAAGCAGACCAGTCCCAGAAGACCTGAGAGTCTGGGCCCAAACCATTCAATGCTTTTTAAACCAGCAGCAGTATTTTGAAATCAATTCTTTGAAACACAGGAAGCCAGTGTAAAGACTTCAGAACTGGAGTGATGTGATCCACTTTCTTAGTGTTAGTGAAGAATGATGAAATGTGACCAAATACGCTGCTTAAATACAAATTTGAGGTACTTCTACTTTAATTTAGTATTTAATTGTATGATTCTTTACACTTTACTACATTTTCGAGGCAAATATTCTACTTTTTACTTCATTAAAAGGATTCAATCACTTGTAAACCATTTTTAAATCACTAAATGTTTTCAAATGGGACATTCTACATTATAAGAACTGAAAATGTTGGTACTTTGATGCTAATATTTTCACACTTTAACTTGAGAATGATGATACATTTAGCACTTTTATTTGTTGATGTAGTGGTGCTTCTTTTATTTCTGTAAAATGTCTGAACACTTCTTCCACCACTGGACTTTAACCATATTCTATCGTGTTTTATCATTCAGTTAGATCTAGGCTCATCCTTGCATGAAAATGATCAACAAAGTAAATTCAGTTTACTGTCTGATGTCAGACGGGCATTTTGGTTCTTTTGGCTCTGACGGCACACAACTTTGCTTTAAATACTTTAATATACACATTTGAATTCATTTGAATTGACTTTGTTGCTGCTTGATGTGTTTCAGATCCACAGGACTCCGATTCCCTACACTCCCCTCTGCCTCGCCAAGGCTGTGAAGAACGCCACTGAGATTCAAGGCATGAAAATGGCCCATGTAAGAACTTTATGAGCGCCTTAAAATCTGTTGTGTGCATTTACTAATTAATAGTTTATGATTGATGCAACTGATCTCACCTCACAGATAATGTATTTCGTCTTCTGCACTTTTCCCCAACAGATCAAGGATGCAGCTGCCTTATGTGAACTCTTTGCTTGGTTGGAAAAGGAGGTATTTTCATTATGTTTCTGAGGCTATATATTTTGAGTTCCAAAGAAGAGAGAAGATATTATAGGCTGTAACATTTAGGTTATTGTACCTAATGAGTGAATTCGCTAATTTGGGAGAAAACCCTTTGGATATTTGTAATATTGTGACGTAGCCCCTGTTCAAAGTGAACTTTCTCTCACATAATAATATTTAATTGATCATGATTTCATAAATGGTTTCTGGAAAGTTACTGATCTATGTCAACTCTTTCCGCATTACCTGGTTGTTAAGATTCCAAAAGCCACGGTGACGGAGATCTCTGCTGCCGACAAGGCTGAAGAATTACGCAGGTATGTTTATTATTATTTGTCCTGGATGTTTTTTTACAGTAAGCACTCAGTAACTTCCAGTTAAAGTCCTTGAATTGCTTCATGGAGCGATGCCAATTTAAACTGTGCTGCGATAGTGACTGGAGTTATATCCCCCTCTACTGGACAGGGAAGTGAAGTCAAATGTTTACTGAAAGCTTTGAAATGAATATGATTTGTTGATTTTGTATCTGTTTTAGTGTGCCAGTGTGATCCTACAACTTTTGAACATTACATCTCCTGTCATCAATGCATTTTTGTGTGGAAAATATCCTTTTCTTAAGTATACTTTTGTCTTTTTCAGTCAACAGAAAGATTTTGTTGGCCTCAGTTTCCCAACAATTTCCAGCGTCGGCCCCAACGGAGCCATCATACATTACAGGTCAGCTGGCCAGTATTTTTAATGAAAACATTTTTTGTCGTTCTGTTATAATAGTTCACTAAGCCTGACTTTTTTTTCTCTTTCCTTTAGACCCCTGCCTGAAACCAACAGAACTCTCTCCTTGAATGAAGTTTACCTCATCGACTCTGGAGCTCAATATGTGTAAACAAGATCATTATTACATAAATCAACTGCAATTGCCCTGCCTAGTATTTGTATGACCTTTACGTCTTAATTCAGACACTAATCACCTCTAATGCCAAGAAAACATAGGAACAGTGATGTGTTTTTTACTAACACACATCTGTATTCAATGTCTGTCTTTGGCAGCGATGGGACCACTGACGTCACACGCACCGTGCACTTTGGGACACCATCGGCTTACGAGAAGGTACATTTGGATATTTGCATTTTCATGGTTTTCACTTTCAAAATCATTTCAATCTCAGGTTAGGGTTGATTGACTAAAGCTGATTTAATTATTCAAATTTGATTTAATATGTTTGTATTATATATTCTCCCTTTTTCCTCAAGGAATGCTTTACCTATGTACTGAAGGGACACATAGCTGTCAGTGCTGCAGTTTTCCCCAACGGAACAAAAGGTGCTCTCCTCTTCTCTGACACTATTCCACGATTAAGCTTTACACTTTACACAGCAGTGAAAAATTGTAAGGATAAAATGATTTATTCAGATGGTAGTTCTTATATATTCCTTTAGTTTTTTGTTGAATATACTGTAGATCTTTTATTCTTAGTCTCTGAAAAACAAAAATTACTTCAATTATAGCTTTCCTATGAGAGCAATCCGTTTTAGACACTGGAAACACAGGTGTCACAAAGTTTCAATAAAAATGGAGAAATGCTTTCTGATGGAGCGAAATCAAAACCTTACCCTACTCAAGTGCGATCCCTAACTATAATCCTGCGTTCCCCCCCCCCCCCCCCACACCCAGGCCACCTGTTGGACTCGTTCGCCCGCGCAGCCTTGTGGGAGTCGGGGCTGGACTACCTTCACGGGACGGGCCACGGTGTCGGCTGCTTCCTGAACGTCCACGAGGGGCCGTGCGGCATCAGCTACAAGACCTTCGCCGATGAGCCGCTGGAGGCCGGCATGATCGTCAGTGATGGTAAGGCAGGGGGAGGGAGGGGAGGGTTTTTGGTTGAGCCAGTGATTCTGTCTCTGTCATGTGATTTTCACGTCCTCAAAAACTCATTATTTTGCCTTTTCTGTGTTTGATTATGTTATAAATTCTCTTTTTTTCTAGAACCTGGGTACTATGAAGATGGAGCTTTTGGCATTCGTATTGAAAATGTCGTCCTTGTTGTACCAGCTAAGCCCAAAGTAGGTCCTTTAACTGAGAACATGGCCTCATGTTCAAATACTCATGGAAATAATAGAGTTAAATATGTTAAACCATTCACTGGCAGTCATTGGGTGAAAGCCATTTTTTCTCATTCAGGTCTTCTTTACTGAGTTTGATCGTAGCAGTTTTAATTATGAAGAAAATCCGGATGTGAATATTCTCTTGTCTGTGTGTTCAGTACAACTACAGAAACAGGGGCAGCCTGACATTTGAGCCCCTCACTCTGGTTCCCATCCAAGTCAAGATGATGAACACTGAGCTGCTCACTCAGAAGGAGGTAAGGGATATCCAGTGTGATTGTGTTTAAGCATTCAAATCATCAGAAATATTAAATTGATCCCAAGCAGGGATTCGGTTGCATTACAATTGCTTCAAATCTAGTTTAGAAATATATTCATACTCGTAGAGAAATTTTAACAAAAGTTACATTTATGTATGTAAAAATATGTGCATTATAATACGCAATTAATCTACAATATATATGGGAAATAAGAAATATGTTACATTTTGTAAATAGTATTCTATTTACAAAATGTAAATGCTCTCTATCGCTGGAAAATAGGATCTATGATTAAGTGTATTTAAATGCAAGAATAGTATCTACGAATAGTACTTGATATGTATAGTATACAAAATAAATGCAGTATTAATGCCAGGGTAAACCAGAGTTGACCATCAAATACAAATTCAGCCATTGAAAATGTGTTTTTATTGGTAAGATGATGAACACTTAAAATACAACAAATAATTGCCTTTAACCTAGTTAACACTTTGTAAGAAAATCATACAACTTTTTTTAAATGTTCCATTATATCAGCTATTCCTGTCATAACATGCACTACTTTAGTCTGTTCATGGTGTGACGGGCTCTCTTCTGTTCACAGCGGGACTGGGTGAACGAGTACCACAGAATCTGCCGGGAGGTGATCGGAGCGGAGCTGGAGAGGCAGGGCAGGAAGGGGGGGCTGGAGTGGCTGATCAGAGAGACCCAGCCCATCGCCTGAGTACGACTCTTCTGCAGTACCATCCTTTTTGCCCTGGAGCAAAGATGATTAATTTCTCTGCAGTGATAAACGTTTGTATTTTCTCATCTTTCTCTGTGTCTCACACTTGGCTTCTTTTGTAAAGCACATTGTATCAGCAGTTTTATTAAAGATCATTACAAAATCAAGTTCAGCTTGGCAAGTGAAACAATTGGTGACTCATCAACACTATCCTTATATGGTTTTACAAAAGATATTTACAATGACAACTGTAGAAATATACATGATTATTAGTGGCAGCATTGTCCTGTACCTACATTTAGCATATATTTAAATCCTTTAAATGACAAGTACTCTGTTGAGTGTTCTGTGTACAGACGGTGTTGCTTACTAAAACGCATGTATCATTGATGCCTTACAAACACGATAAATGAATGTTCTGTTTTTATAAAACATTTGCTGTGCCATTCTAAGAAGATTTATATTTACAATTTAGATCTCAGTTTCTTTCTCTTTGGCGGCACCTAGGGTGATAAGCAATAATGCAGGTGTGTTTTTGGATCCCTCTTTGCTGAGAACCAAACAGTGAACTTGCAATTCCCGTAAATGTTTCCGCAGACACCCCGTTTTATTCTGCAAATTCAATGGGTTTAAATCCATTGTGTTACGTCATGATGATAGATTTTATTTAAATGAAAATATTCAAGATTATTACTTTAAATTCCTGCATTGTTAACATCCCTGTTTGCTGGGTTGCAGTCTTCTCCTCCTGGTTTTGCTGGCACTTAATGTGTTTGTTACCCAACTGTCAATCAGTCTGTTATAGCCAGTGATGTCAAGATGGGTATTTTCTTCAAGTCAAATCAAAAGCAGTTGCCCAGTTTAATATCAGATATATTTACAGATATTTGCTCTTAAATCCACATTTTTGTTGCATTCAAAACAGTGAAATACACAGAAACAGTCAACAGAGATTTGTTGACTCACTTTACACCTAGGTTCAGTATTGTACTTTCATGGGACTAACAACACAGATTAAAACTAAGAATGGTCTAAATTGAAGCAGCAGTGGATGGAATATTCTGAACCTAAGTCCCAGTATGAGTATATAAGCCATAATATCCTACATTTCTCATGGTGCAACTTAAGAGCAACCCTGCTAAAAGTGTATACTGTACCCGGTCTATGACCAGGTTTTCTGTTATAGATTCCCAGGCTATGTCTTTTCCTAAAATAGATGGGAGTGCCTGCTTTACTGTAGATGGTGACATAACTTTAGTCAGTCTTGGGTGCAGGGGTCCAAATCAGACCTCTCAGATTCCAATGTCTCTCTCGTGACTTTTAGATCATTTCTCGTCACAGTCCCACAGCACAACTCTTTAACACCTTCTAAAGCTGCATGTAAAAAATGGGAGGGTCCAGGGTGATGCCACTGCAGGGGTCCTTCGCGTACTCTTGAAAAGACAGCGGCAGCATCAGTGCAGTCTGCTCCTCCGCTCCCTGTGAGGCTTTAGTCCGGCACTCCTCCTCTCCCTCCTTCAGGCCCACAGGCAGCGGGTTACTGTAGATGTAGTAGATCCTGGAGTTGTCCTTTGCTGCCTCTTGTTTCCTGAAGAAGGCGAGAGGGTTGATGAAGCTGGTGGACCTTTTTACTGCTCTGACCGCGACGGGGTCCGCCGGCTCGCCTCGGGTCACTGCGCTCTCATACACGTGGGCTCTCTTTGACTGCCTGGTGGAGCAGATGGGACTAATTGCACTAATGACTTTAAAGGAAACATATTGAGCTCATTTTCAAGTTCATCTTTGTATTTTGGCTGTCTATTAGAATACGTTTAGATGCTTAAATGATCAAAAAAATACTTAATTTTTCTCATACTGTCTGTACAAATATAACTGTATTCACAATCGGCTCCCAAAAACACAGTCTGCCCTGATTGGTTAGTTTGCTGATCTTACGCATCTGTGCTCTTATACTTGCTTTTTTTGAGTGCATACTGTAAGTGGGTTCACACTTAGAAGTAAAATGCATTGCACTATGAGTACCCAGATGGTCCAGTAATAATGGTCCAAAACTGTGGAACCCGGTTACTTCTCACACTCAGCTATCATCATCTTGGCTACTTAACGGAATTATCAGCTGTGTGTGCTCTTGCTCCTGTGAACACAAATACACAAATATAAGCTGTGAATGTTTTTTTGATTGGGTCAAAAGAGCTGTCTGTATTGCAGAGGTGGGAAAAATACTCAAATCTTGTACTTTAGTAAAAGTAGAAGTACCAGAGTGTAGAAATACTCTGTTAAAAGTAAAATTCCCGCAATCAAAAGGTTACTTAACTAAAAGTACAAAAGTATAAGCATCAGAATATACTGAAAGTACTTATTATGCAGATTGGTCCATTTCAGAAAAATAAATATTATATGTTTTGATTATAGTTATTGATGCATTAATGAGCTGGTTTTAATTACTTTGTTTACTGTAAGGTAGCATGTGAATTTTTCTCCAGGTGTAACTAAAGTCTCTTGTTGATTCGTCAAATCATTCGTCCAAATCTGTAAAGCAACTAAAGGTACAACATAAATATAGTGGAGTAAAAGTACATGATTAACCTCTGAATTGTAGTGGAGTAGAAGTATATAATAGCAACAACATTTAAATACTCGTAAGTATAGTTCAAGTATCTAAGAATTGTACTTAAGTACAGTGCTTGAGTAAATGTACTTGGTTACTTCCCACCTCTGCTGTAATGGTACCTTGATACCAGGAAAGCAAAGCTGCTAGCTAGCTAGCTAACAGCAGAATTCGTCTTTTCAACAGAGTGCACAGCAGCTGTTGGCAACTTGAGACAACTCTACCCAGACACACTATCCAAGTCAGTAAAGGACATACGATCTCAGTGTATGACATGAGAGCATAACTAAAACCATCATGATTTAAATGTCTGATTTCCTCCCATCACTTCCATGGTTCCTAATAAAGGTAAGGACATATTTTAAAGTATCAAGACTCATCTGATATCTGATCCTCACCTGGTGCGGTTGTAGCAGACGGTGATGCAGTACAGGCCGGTGATAGTGAGGATACACAAGGCCAGGGCGATGATGACAATGTTAAACACTTTGAACTCTGGGTAGGAAACACACACGTTACTTAGAAGAAGCACTTCACCACATCAGAAAGTCCATTGTGACTGCAGAATAAAACTGAACTGATATAAAGAGAACAACACACCAGACAGAGCTGAGTCCATCTCCTGGTCATGCAGCCCCAGAGCTGCCGTGGTGTTCACATGGAGGCTGTCTGCCATCATTTCTCCGTCCTGGTGGGCTCCACTCATGTTGCTGCCATTGGCATCCAAAACATGGACTAAAGGCTGAGCTTCAAGCCTCTTCCCACTGGTTTCAATAGAAACCCGGGCCATGTGACTCGAACAGCTCCTCTCAGTCTCTGTGGAGACTCCCCCTCTTTTGTCACCCCATCAGTTCAACTTGGACACCCCATCTTCTCCCTCCCCTCAGCTCCCCTTGTTTACTGCTCATTATTCTGCTCAGCGTTTTGGGGGGACACTGAGGGGAGAGGGACGTTGGGCCTCTTACTGTTTGTAATACACTTTGAGTGGTGACCTCAAAACTACAGAGACCACTACTGAAAATGTGAAAGAAAAAATCAAAGAGGAACTCAATTACAGTTTACTCTGAAAATGGTGCTCTTTTGAGTTTTCAGTTTTTTTTACCCCCTGAATCATCAGATAAATGAAACAACAGAGAACTCCTTCCTGCCATCTGTGCTCATGTCAAACATTGGTGTGAATTGTGCCATCTTACTTATACTTAAATAACGTCTGCATTGCATTATATTTATTGTATTATTAGTATTATTAAACATTATATATTGTATCTATCTGATAGAGACATAATGTCAGAAAATGTCAATATCATATCAATATTTGATTAATACAATACAATACAAAAAAAAGTGTCATTTTACACTGACAGAAAAGTGTTTGAGTAGCTGGAGATGACATTGGCAATTCATGAATTGCACATTTTCTCTCGACTATCACCTTCAGCTTAATAAAAAAACCCAAAAGAACCCAATAAATCATTGAAAAGCTTACTGCAAATCCTTTTCCTGCAGTATAACAACTTGACACTAGTTTTCAACGAGACATTTAACTGAATCTCCACGGATCAGACACAGAATGCTTGTCTACCATACCTCTTCACCTGCCTATCTGTGCGTCGCTGCTTGTTTGGTGTTTTGGGGTGAGCAGTACAGGAGATCAGGCTGTCAAATGGGCTGATGCGAGAGCCAAAGCCAGCGAAAAGGCAACAAAGCCAGCATTCTTCCCCTTCCTTATGCCTCACTTCACCCTGCAGCACCATGGGAGAAATTATGCAATTAGTTGAGAATCTAATTAAAGCAGCGTTTTGTTTTCCCTCTTTGACAAGACAGGCTGCTCTTTAGAGTGAACTTGGAGAGAATCTTTCCTCTGTGCGAGTGACCCTTTTGTCAACCTGCTTGGTTGAGTTGCTACATAGGGTGAAACATGTGGTACAAGCTAAAGCTAGGAGAACGTTTTTGTTGTAGCTGAATTTGGTTTGGTATGAGAAATAGTGATGTTGATCTCATTCATGCAGGTAAGCTATGATGCCCATTATTGGAACAACTAGATAGCATCACTCTCCACTTTTCAGACATCAACGGTAGTTCATCAGAATACCATATCTACAGTATGTAGAGGCCTTTGTTTGTTTTTAAACGGCAAAATGCAGCTGCAAATCAGATAACTTTTCTTATTTGTGTCTCTTTCCTGTTTACCAACCCTCCACTAGGTGTCACACCTTGCCTGCATGTTCAGTCTGGACTCGCCATACCTCAGTAAAGGACAGCTCTGTGGTATTCATCAGCCCAGAAGCTTTATTTTTAGTGACAGGGGTAGTCTCTTTATTCCAAGAAAAAGAAAAGAAAAACAAAGACAGAGAGAGATTGACTGATTGGGAAATAAGCTGTGACACAAAGGCTGAAATCTATGTTTATTAGCCTCCCAAAGGTCTTTAATTCCTGTGTAATGTTGACATTCATCCTGGCTGTTTTGATTTACAGGGCATGTGGGTGGCATTCAGTTGGTATGGTTTATTTGAGCAGACCAGTAAGCATAAACCAACTCTGTCTGTGGCAGCTATCATGGGAATAAGGTCGGGAGAAATCCAACTCACCGTTTCTCAGTTTCACTCAAAACTCAAATATTAACACTAAGGAGGAAATTGCTAAATTTATCATGATGGATAATCAGTTGTTGGAGCAATAACATTTACTCCTTTTGTAGTTGTTTTTTATTTTGAATGTGTTTACTTTCCAAGAGTTATTTGAATCGTTACTGTAGTATATCATAGGGTAAATGACATTTAGTTACTAATTATAACAAAGAAATCCATTTACATGTATGTGTTTTGACATTTTTGATCAGAAAGTTGAGAGAAAATAAGATATTATTCGTCTCATAAATCACTATAATCCTGAGATCAAACTGCTGGTGCATGGTTCATCTGTCCAAAGTTGAAGTTCCCTTATTTTCCAAAACATGTTCTATTCTTGCATGTTGCATGAGAACGATTTAACCTACAACGTTGAGCTCATGAAACAATTAAAAAAAAACGTATTAAAAAGAGTCTGGAGAAGAAGGGATCCTAAAAGTTAAATAATTTAAAATGTCAGCAATACAAATACAATAACAGGAATTAAAGATAAAGAAATAGATACAAAAAAAATCTGACAAGTAATCATACAAAATGGGCTCTTGAACCCTAAAACAGAATTATTACGAGGTTGAATATTCCAATCAAATAAACAGTTCAGAAACGCTGGCAGCTAACTCAACTTACCTTCTGTGAGAATAGTTTCAAAACCGTTTAGGAAATACATTCCTGAAGATTCATTTCATTTAAGTAGGACATGGTATATTATGTTAGTATGCAACTGGCACAATATTAGCCACATCTGGCAGATGCTAATGCAGGGTGCCTTCATCAATTGAGTAGTGAGGAAGGAGGTACTGTTTATTTAACATAAACCTTCTTGATGTGCTGCCTGAAGTGTATCTGTAAAGATGGCAGCTTCAGGAAATATTGAATAAAACATTTAATGTCAGTGTTAATGCATGCTCTTACTTTCACAGCTTATTCACAACCAGCACCTCACTCATCAGCAGCAGACTGTTAATAATACCTCGTAGCATCTATTAAGCCTCTCCCTTATCAGGCAGCATTCGGTTTTTGTGGATTACATTTAGCTTTTAGGTATTTTGTATCCACTGCATCTTACAGTGACTAAGCAGGTGAGATTTCATGTGTTGCTCAATGACGCCTGGTTATTAGACACTCTGGCGTTGATCCAGCAACCTCATTATAATTCATTATTTCTTTCACTTATTTCATTGTGCATGTACCTTCTTTCTCATGCTTTTGTGTTATCTTCTGTTTGCTTAAACATTTTTGTTATTTTGAAAAGAAAAAAAGGCATCAGATGCTCTTACAAAAATGAATTGAATTACCCCAAAATTAAATCAAATGTAATGGTAACATAAGCCTTTTGTTGAACATATACAGTAACTGCATTTACAGAGTGGATCCACTCAGGGGCTTACAAATAAAATCCCTTATAACTTTTTTTTGTCACAAATGCGGTCAACTCATCAATCATCTCTCCTATAATCTCCCCCAAACCCTCCCAACTCTCTCTGACTGGCCAGTGAATTCCTGACTATCCCTCATCGCCCTGCCTCCCCCCTCCTCACCCTCTGCTCCTGTACCTCCCCCATCTCTGTGTTTATACAGAGGCTGGTGGGGAATTAGCCTTCTGGCGGGATCCATTTGTTCTGACGTGGTTCAGCGGGAAGGTCCCGCCTTGATTTATTACACTGTCAGTAAAACTTCTGGAGGTACATTTTAATACACAAAGGCTGTGCACCGTATGCTGTCTGAGTGTGTGCTTGTGCCTCTCAGTTTGATTCGGATCATACCGCAGATTCTGAGAGACTTCTGTTCATGGTGAAAGACTCCCTGCTGATGGAGGTTTATTATATACAGCAGAAGTTATGGAAAAGATACACTCCAGATTAAAGGGAATATTATTATTTGAGGGCCCATATGGTGTAGTTTGCATGATTCTTTTCAAATACACTACCATGTCATGTAGTTTAGTTAGAAGGATGCCAAGAGTGATCTTGTGTAATTTAAATGTCTGAGCCTCATTTAAAATGTCTTCATTTATACATTAAACTGAATGGACATAAGTAGAGTATGAATGGATTAATACCAGGCATTGCTCCTTAAAGCTGAAACTATTCACTGATTTGTTGATGAACAGAAAATGAGTCTGCAATTATTTTAATAATCTCTTCATCAATAACTTGAGGTATTTTTCTGGCAAAATATGTCAGACCTTTATTGTCTCTATTTCAGATATTTTAAAGACAAATGGATTCATCTATTTCGTGAAAAAAGACCTTTGAAAGATGGATGTCAACAATAATGAAAATAATTTTAAGGTGCAACCTTCAAAAAAGGAGAAATACAATGCCTGACTACAATCATTCATAACTGCACACATGACTTTTCATTTGATCTCACATGTGACCTTACAATTTTAAACAGATGACTTAAAGGGGACCTACAGTATCATGCAAAATGCACTTTTGTACGTCTTTTATACATGAATATGTGTCCCCGGTGTTCCAGGGAACTCACCAAGTGTCAGAAAACACAACCCTCTCTATTTTCCTCCATACCCAAATCTCTAAAAAAGGGGCTGCAACGGATCTGATAAAAACTGATCCAGATTTGAACACTGTCCTGACATCAGGACGGTGGCGCTACGGCTATTGGGCCAACTCCACCAATCAGGAGGAGACAGCCACGGCCATTGCCGTTCGAAAGCGCTGGAGACGCTGTAGTACATATGCCAGGCCTCTAGATGGTGCTGTTGCTCACAGAATCAACCCTTGCTAAAACAGAGCTAGAAATTGTCAAATTGAGCAAAATGAGGCATGGCTAAAATGCATGATCTGTTTGGTATTTTGAAAAAAAAAAAAGTATAAATATGCCTTATATAGGTATGGTCCTACACTATATTATTCAAATATAGCATGATAGGTCCACTTTAATATAGGATATATTATGTGAATCATTCAATTTACAATATCTCACCAGGCTAATCCAGTGACTATGAGTACTGTTTTGAAAACATAATTTAACCTATTATTACATTTTGTTGCTCAAGTTTACTAGTGTCTAAAGGCTGAATCTCAGACAAATGTTGGAAAGATCTGTTCTCTTGGCATGAAATTAAATACTATCAAGGAAGTGAGGAGAGTAGGGACTGTGCTCTGTTGGATATAGCGTGTCAGAGACAGGAGGTGCAGAGGAGCGGTGAAAAGTCATTCTATATATGTGATTTTATGATTCCTGCTGTCATCGCTGTTCAGTCAAATAG